ATCTATGCGTCCATAATATGTCTGCTTATTCCCATTCGGGTCTGTGGCATCTATGCGGACACCACTCTGTTTTGGTTGGTACTCCTTTTATCTTGGGCTACTGTGTAGAATATGTTCCCATTTATCTCGTACCCTTTGTATGTGACGATATGCCATGATGGTTGCATAGCCAATAAATCTGATTGCTCATGGATGCTCTCATCACCTTGACATTTTTTTCGCAACCAACCGCCGAAAGTTTCCATGTGCTTATGCGTAATCCAAGCTTGATCTTCCCGAGAAACTCGGATCGTAAGAGATCCTTGTGTGTCTCAATATACGGATCTACCAAAGAGGAGTTCTCAGAGAAGCTGTGTAGTGCGCTTTATTGAAATAATCATCATCCGTACCAATATATGTTTTCCTCCCTAGTGTCCCCTTTCCGCTTAGTCTCCCCTCATGTCTCGATTCAGAACACCAATCGAGTCAAGGTCGGGAATAAAGTCAACACAGAACTCAATGACCTCTTCATGCTCCATAGCCCTTGGCGATGCTTCCTTCTGGCGAGCACGGTTGTGAACATATTTCTTTAGGACTCCCATGAATCTCTCTAAGGGGAACATGTTGTGTAGGAACACAGGACCGAGAGTGAAAATCTCCTTGACTAGGTGAACTAGGAGGTGTGTCATAATATCAAAGAAGGAAGGAGGAACACTAACTCAAAGTCGACGAGACATTGAACCACATCATTACGTAGTTTAGCTAGATCAGTTGGATCAATTGCCTTTCGAGAAATTGCATTGAGGAATGCACATAGCTTTACGGTGGCTAGACGTACATTTGGAGTAGAATTCCTCTTAATGCAACTGGAAGTAATTGCGTCATGAGAACGTGATGATCATGGGACTTTAAGTTCTGTAATTTCTTCTCTGGCACATTTATAATACCCTTTATATTCGAGGAGAATCCAGATGGTACCTTGATGTTGTTTAAGCATTCAAACATGATTTCCTTCTCCTCTTTGCTTAGAGTGTAGCTAGCAGGACGTAAGTAATGGCGTCCATCATCATCTTCTCTCGGATGTAGGTTGTCTCTTTCTCTCAAACAACGCAGGTCCTGCTGTGCTTCAAATGTGTCCTTAGGCTTTCCATACACACCCATAAAGCCTAGCAGGTTCACACAAAGATTCTTCGTCAGGTGCATCACGTCGATCGAGCTACGGACCTCCAGGACTTGCCAATAGGGTAGGTCCCAAAATATGGACTTTTTCTTCCACATGGGTGCGTGACCGGTAGCGTCTTTCGAATAGGTTGGCTTCCATGTCCTTTTCCAAAGACGACTTTCACATCATTGACCATATCGAGTACATCCTCACCGGTTCGGTTGCGAGGCTTGGTCGGTGGTCCGATTTCCTTTAAAATGCTTACCTTTCTTTCTTACGGGGTGATTTGCGGGAAGAAATCGGCGATGGCCAAGGTACACGACCTTTCGACATTTTTCAAGAATACACCTCTAATATCACCAAGCAAAGTGTGTGCATGCATTATATCCCTTGTTTGATTGTCCCGAAAAGATTACTTAGAGCAGGCCAATCATTGATTATTACGAACAACAATGCTCGCATGAGATCAAAGTGTTCCTGTTTGTACTCATCCCACACACGTACACCTTCTTTATTCCACAAAATGAGAAGTTCATCAATAAGTGGTCTCAGGTACACATCGATGTCATTGCCAGGTTGCTTCGGGCCTTGGATGAGCACAGCATCATAATGAACTTCCGCTTCATGCATAACCAAGGAGGAATGTTGTAGATACTTAGAGTAACAGGCCAAGTGCTATGACTACTGCTCGCTCTCCAAAAGGATTGATACCATCCGTACTTAAAGCAAACCTTAAGTTTCTTGCGTCATTTGCAAACTCCGGGAATTCTCGTCGATTGCTCTCCCTTTGGGACCCATCATGCAGGGTGTCTCAACATATTGTCTACCTTACGGTCTTCTTTGTGCCATCGTAACAATTTTGCATGTTCTTTGTTTTCGAACAGACGTTTCAAGCGTGGTATTATAGGAGCATACCACATAACCTTGGCGAGGATTTTCTTACGTGGACGTTCGCCCTCAACATCACCGGGGTCATCTCTTTGATCTTATATCATGACATGACGCATGGCATACGGGCATGCATCCAATTTCTCGTACTCTTTGCCACGGTATAGGATGCAGTCATTAGGACATGCATGTATCTTCTCTATTTCTAGCCCCATAGGACAGACAACTTGTTTTGCTTCGTAGGTAGTGGCGGGCAATTCATTGTACTTCGGAAGCATCTTCTTTTGGATTTTTAGTAACTCTCCAAATCCCTTGTCAGATACACCATTCTTTGCCTTCCATTGCAGCAATTCTAGTGTGGTTCCCAACTTTTTCGCCTCTGCATCACAAGTTGGGTACAACAATTTCTTGTGATCTTCTAGCATCCGCTCGAACTTGATCTTCTCCTTTTCACTTTCACATTCTCTTTGTGCATCACGAATGACGACGACAAAGATCATCCTTGACTCATCTTCTGCGACTACCTCTTCTTGACTTCTCCCATTGCAAAGATATCATTGAAGCACGCACCATCGGGAATAATATCATTGTCGTCCCATTGTTCTTCTTCATCTTCTTCCATTACAACACCGGTTTCTCCGTGCTTTGTCCAACAAATATAGTTTGGCATGAAACCCGACTTGAACAAGTGTGAATGAAGAGTCCTTGAGCAAGGATATTCCACCGTATTCTTACATATGGCACATGGGCAGCACATGAAACCGTCGCGTTTGTTTGTCTCGGCTGCACGTAATAAAGAATGCACGCCGTCAATGAACTCTTGTGAGCGGCGATCAGCATTATACATCCAATGACGGCTCATCGCATTACATGACATAAATATCATATTAAAACCTAGATCATAATTAATTATTATTATACAACATGCGTGCCACCACAAAAGATACAAATTTATGAAAGCATCGCTACAATGTAGACAATCCCAACTACCACTAAAAGAACTAAAGCTAAAATACATTTCAGGAGCACAAGGATTTCGCGACCAATCTCAACTAAAACAGACAGATCCCCCGATTGTGCAACATCTTTGGGCTTCTTAATTTGGATCAACGCCTCATTAGCCGCCAGTCTCTGCTTTTGTTGTGCAAGATATTTTGCACGAGTTCAACATACTCTTTCCTCCCAAAGAGAAGCCCGAACATCGCCCACCGCCATCCCATTGAAATTAAAACAAAAATTAGAACTTTAATCACAACCATCATGAAAATAGGTATAAACTAACCATAATCATTAAATACGATAAAATAACTCACATTGCGATCCGGACACTTGTAGAAGATACGATCCTTGTTGGGACCCTCCTTCTTCACTCACTCGGTACTCCATCACAATCTTCATCTCATCACGACACTTGCCGCATGGAATGAGAGGAAGGCCCGGCCCTAAGTCGCTTTGGAAACCCATGAGAGGCCGAGGACCCGGAAGCGATTGCCATCTACTCTCTATACTCATTTTTAATACACTATAAATTTCTTCTTTTATAAACAAATAAAATTAACAAACTATAAAATTATCTAGATCTCTAAACAATGATATTTTTTTAATGGTCATTGTGTTCTCGTCTTTTATCATGGCGCAGGTAAGTAATTCATATGATATTTTCGCAAATTAATGTAAGAATGGGAATGTACACACATAATGAGACTACTACTACGACGATATCGGGACGTGTGAATAAATAACCATCCATACTAGTTGACCTTGCTTACATGATCATCTCGGCGAGCATTTCTCCACCGGACGGCACCGTGCATTTTGGCCACGGAAGAGCTCCAATTCTACGAGGAAGGGAACACGGTCTTCCACGACCGTTGCCGCTCTCCTCAGAATCAAAGCTCCTCCTTGACGTCCGTTACCGCTCGGCAGAGAACGTGCTTTCGCCGAGATGAACACGGTCCGCAAGTTCAACTAGTATGGATTTTCTATAATTTTCTAACTATTTTCTAAGTTTATATTTATATATATACTACGTTTGGGTACGGTGATTGACGGACTATCTGACGATATCAGGACATGTGAATAAATAACCATCCGTACTAGTTGACCTTGCTTACGTGATCATCTCGGCGAGCATTTCTCCACGAGACGGCACCGTATTTTGACCACGGAAGAGCTCCAATTCTACGAGGAAGGGAACACGGTCTTCCACGACCATTGCCGCCTCTCCTCAGAGAATCAAAGCTCCTCCTTGACGTCCGTTATCGCTTCGGCAGAGAACGTGCTTTCGCCGAGATGAACACGGTCCGCAAGTTCAACTAGCTACTTTAACCTTATTTCATGTAAATATGCAAGCTTGAAGTGATTTTGAGCTCAAATTGCTTACAAATGAAAAAAAACCAAAATAAAGAACCATATATATATATAGTGAACAAAATGAGATAAGACAATGGTGAAAAATGAGAGTATGAGATTGGTAACCTTTACAAACTGAAGAATCGACGGAGGAATCAAGAAATCGATGGAGGAATCGAATAATGGATGGAGGAACAATGGAGGAAGGGAGGAAGCAAGAACACTACTGCAGTGAGCTTCAAAATGTCTTTGAGCTCGGGCTCGGGGAGGAAGGAGGAGACGGCCGATTTATAAAGGAGAACATTTAGTCCCGGTTGGTGGATCCAACCGGGACTAAAATCTTTCCAACCCGGCGCAGCCACGGCCCGGGAGTAGACCTTTACTCCCGGTTGGAGCCACCAACCGGGAGTAAAGTATACTTTTAGTCCCGGTTGGTGGCTCCAACCGGGACTAAAGGTCCTCGCCACCTCTGTCAGGCGCGAGAGCCGTTGGGGGCAGGGACCTTTAGTCCCGGTTGGATCCACCAACCGGGACTAAAGGTATCTCTAGTCCCGGCGCAAAAATTCGGGACTAGAGCCCATTTTAGCCGAGGATCAAAGGGTGCATTTCTCTACTAGTGATGGCTGCCGCCTCGCCACGGCACCCACGGCGCGGCTTCCGGGGTTTGGTCGTGGGGAACCCCACCTCGGTGGAGTCATCTGGGTTCCGGATGCGGGCCTCATGTGTGGGCTTCGGTGGTTCCGGGTTTGACGTCGGCTTCGGAGGCCATGAAGACGAAGAAGACGGCAGAGGAGCGGATGAGGCGAAGATGAGCTTGCCATCTCTAGATCCGATACGCAGCAGCTTTGTAGGAGGCGGCCTCACCAGATCTGGGGGCGTGCCACCGAGGTCGCCTAGCCTCCTTGGCGATGCCAGCGAAGGTGAGGCCATGGAGGGCCTCTCTGAATCAACCGGGCTTCGTGGGAGCCCCCTTACCGGATCTGGCGGCTGCTGGACTCATGAGCCACCATGCCTAGATCTCGGCCTCCATGGAGCCGTCGTGGTTGGGGGATGGGGAGGGATGGTGGTGGCAGAGGAGGAAGAGGGGAGGTGCGGCGGCGGCGTAGGTGTACGGGAGGAAGAGACGGCGGAGGTGGCGACGGCGGGGATGAGAGAGAGAGAGAGAGAGGAAAGGATCAGAGGAGAACGGGACCGGGAGGACTGGGGACTGGGAGATATTTGTTGTACGAGTGATTTGTAGGGGCGGCCGGTGATTGAGCCGCCCCTACAAATCGTAACATCGGGGGCGGCTGGTGAGTGAGCCGCCCCTATAAATCGACCCCATTTGTAGGGACGGCTCGTATTATTAGCCACCCCTACTGTGTCATTTGTAGGGGCGGCTGGTCTAGTGGCTCCCGAGCACGCCACTGTAGGGGCGGCTCCATCACCAACCGCCCGACAAAAAATTTATTCCATTGCTACAAACTGTTTTTCACGTATTGTACGATGCTAGCAGGACAAGCCCCTCACTAGAATCATTGCCATGTGATGTATACTTGGAACAAGTTACCCAAGTGCATTTGTTGGGCCATGTTGCACTGTTAGCTCGTGACAAGAGACAGAGTGCAGTCGTCAATGGCGAAACATGCCCCACGAGAGAATCTCCATTCCTAAAACTTGGGGGGCCACTTATGGCCACATGCCTCTTCTGAAGATATGTTGCCTGCAGTTGGGGGTTCAGCGAGAGACATGATCAACAGGGAGGTAACCCCACGTGGCTTGTATGCAAACATTTCCTTTGAGGAGCTATGTGAGATCATGCTACCAACGGCAGAAGATTGCCTTCACCGGAATGTTCGAGCTACCTCGTATCAGATGCTGTGGAAGTCCAAGCATGGAAGTGCATACCTTCAGGCCGAGAAGACCTCATGGCTGCCCATACCATTAGGGAGGAAAGACAGAGGTGGAAAAAATCAGAAACAAAGTCACTCCAAGAAGGTACAGCACCAATGGACAAGTGAGATGGAGTTCATGAACTCTTGGATTATGCACGCACCTGCTCATATGCAGGCCTCATTCGTGGACCAGATCAAAAATGAAAAACAATTGCCCCTAACATTGACCTCGAAAACTACTTCCTGTGTCCATGATTGTCCAATCCCATCCTTGTCTTTGCCAGATTGGCATGCATCTTTAGCAAGGAAAATGAGGTCTTCCAGCACGTTCATCGCCTTACGGACTTGATGGTGGCACCTAGTATGTGCCATCAGGGAAATGTGTTCTACTAGAGGATGCTCGTCGTGATGGACAATTCAAATCAATATAAATATCCTGTAATCTCTCTGATATTAGGTTACTAATAGTTATTCCATATGTTTTTCTATGCATGTTTAAAGTTTTTCTCCTTGTGTCTGTAACTCTGTATCTGCATATCAACTTGCAGTACGACTTGCTGTGACCCTTAATAGTTCAACTTCACCAGGTTCTAACCTCTTTACACTTACAGTTTACAAGATGGATCATAGATTTTAAATATAAACAGACGAAAAGGGATAATCTGAGACACACATGCATTGAGTATGTTTCTACAGCTGGTATATGCACTCTATGTCGACCTCAGTGTTTAATTTTGCCATCTACCGCTCTACACAAAAGTCCTCCTGCGTCCCTATCACACTTGACAAATTTCTGCGCTGTCCCTCTCACAAATATACTACCTCTCTATATGTATGATCACAATTCACAACTGCTTGGCTGAGCAGGCAAGATTCCCCAACCTTTTGTGTGTGCTGTCATGGTTTTAGACTGTCAAGTGTCATAGTGCTTACCCTAAAAAAAAAGTGCCATAGTGCTGGTACGACTTTCTGTGACACTGTCAGCTAGTTCAAGTGTTCAACAGCGCCTGGTTTTGATTACGTCTCCACACTTGCACTTTACAAGATTGATCATAGATTTTAAACTGATGAACAGGGACAATCTGGCTAAAACATGTATGGAATATTTTTCTTTCTTTCTCTGCATACAGGACAACCGATTCTACAGCAGGTTTGTTCGATCAATCTTAATGGCAGCAGAGATGGTCAGTTCTGCAGTGGCCAGGAGGCTGTTAACCAAGTCTTCTCAAGAATCAAGGATGGTTGTCAGCATAAGTCAGATGCAAAAGAGCACATTGAGAGGATGGAGATGGCACACATCAAGCTGGAGGCCGCCCTTGAGACCTCCAACAAGTGGAACGTCACCAGCGCGCCACTGCTGCATTGGCGGAGCAAGCTCAAGCGCGCCTCACAGGAGTGTGACCACACTCTGCGCAGGTGTAGGCAGCGCTTGCAAGAAGAGGAAGAAGTACAGCAAGTGCTAAGGAGCTCCTCCTTTCCGAAGAGGATCGCTCATACTACCATGTCGTTTGTTTCCTTAATCTTTAGTCACGGTAACGATGATGAGCTGAAAGGATCCACTGCCACCCGGCGATTTGAACGGTTTTCTGAAGGTGCGAGCGAATTCTTGAGGTATGTAGAGCTTGGTGGCACACCATGCAGATACATGTTTTTCGACCCTTTCATATGCCATCTTCTCACTGGCAAAGGAACAAAGTATTGCATTGTTAGCAGGGGTCAACATCTCTCATTGCTTCTACAGCCCTTTAGTACACAAGAACATGGGATCGAGGGTAACCTAATATTCTTACTTGAAGATGTTAATGCTCCAGAGAGTAATTTCCTTCTTACCCTCCAATTACGGCTCTCTGAGAGTATAGACATAGTTGGTGTTGCAGTCAGATGCCTGAACCTATTGACACCTCACTTAAGCTCAACAATCGAGACTGTGAAAACAAAGCTCACCCAGGTACCAACACAAGCAGACTTGTCCTGGGTGTCTGATTCTTGTTCTGTTTGTGGCTGCTATGATGAACAACAGAACAATATTCACACCGTCTGTTCTAAATGGTTTCGACCGAACCCGCTTTGTTGCCAGCAACAAGATCACTACTATTCCCAGCGCTATGATGCTACACACTCATCATCAGAATCATTACCATGTGATATATACATGGAACCAGTTATCCAAGTGTATTTGTTGGGCCATGTCACACTGTCTGTTGGGAACAACAGGCAGAGGGCAGTTGTCACTGGTGAAAGCGAAACAAGCCCTAAGAGAGAATTTCCTTATATGAAACTTGGAGCGCATTTCTGGCCCCATGCCTCATCTGAAGATTTGTCGCCTGCAGTCGATGGTTCAGCAACAGAAATGATCAACGGGGTGGTCGTGCAAAGTGGCATGCATGCAAAAATTTCCTTTGAACAGCTAGGCGACATTATGATACCGAAGGCAGTAGATTGCCTTCGCAGGGATGTAGCAGCTACCTCATATCAGATTATGTGGAAGTCCAAGCATGGCAAGGCATATCTTCAGGTTGGAAAGACCATATGGAGAACAACTGCTCAAGAAGACCGAGGTAGAAAACACCATAAACGATTGCCGGGCAAGAAGGTGCTGGGATGGGCCAGTGCCAACAATGAGTTCATGTGCTCGTGGATTAGACACGCGCCTGTCCAGTTGCAGAGCTCAGCGGTGGACTGGATTCAGAAAGGAAGACAATTGCCACAACCATTATTATTGAAAACTTCCTGCTTCCATGACTGTCCAATCATGTTGTTTTCTTTGAAAGATCACAGGTCTTTGCTAAGGACAATAAAGTCGTCCAGCAAGTTCAATGGCTGAAGGACTTTTAATTCCTTGTACTTCAGCACCATGATGAACAAACTATAGTTGAACCATTGGTGTGTTTTGTAAATATAAGACTATATAGGGGTTTTCTGAAGAATATACTAGCTATCTATAGGGATATAATGAGATGACAAGACTGAGATGTGTCGTTGTAATTACAATATTGAGTGATTGTTTCATTGTCAACGTTCGTGAAGTCTTTTTGTTTGTGTCATTCTTGCTCATGCTAACCAAAGGTGAAGTGGTGGTGGACTAGTGGACATGTCTCTTGTTTTCTATATTTGCATGGTTGTGGAGAAAGTGAGGTAGAGGTACATGTCGACGTACCATTGGCGGCCCTGAAGGATGGACGAGAATGCTAGAATGAGAGGCCAAGGTCATGGCGATTATATGTTTTCCACACCAAGCACAAGGATAACAAGCATGCCAAGGTGTTGCTTGATGAATCTTAATGGCAAGGTGTCGACTGCTGAGTAGTTCAAATGTTCAACCATGCCAGCTTTTGATTTCCACTCTACTGTTGCACTTTAAGAGATTTTAAACTGATGAACACGGATAATCTGCCTAATATATGTATGGAATATTTTACTTTCCTTCCATGCATTTCTACATGTTGCTTGATGAATCTTAATGGCAGCAAAGATGGTTAGTTCTGCACTGACCCAGGAGTCTGTTGTCAAGTCCTATCAAGATTTAAGGAGAGGTACAAGGAGAAGTCGGATACTGAAGGACCGAGAAAGGCGACCAGAGGGGGTGAATGGAGCCTAATATAATTTTCTTCCGATTTTGGCCGCTGTCCCAAATCAAGCCCCAAAGTACTCAAAGCACCCAAACTTCCCACGGGAGTGTACACAGGCCAATTGGTTACCGGATACACTCAAGACACCTCAGAGAACTTAGCAGAAAAGATGGGAAGTCAAACGGACGAAAAATGGATCAAAACGAGCGAAAATGCACCGTGGCGGGAAAACCGCGCAGCACAACTGGCCTGGCCGGTTCTACTGTCCCAGCAGCCCGATCCCCTCCAAAAGGTGATTTTGATGCAAATGAACTCTTGTTTATTCCAAACTTTGCAGAGGGTTTCCAAGGGTGTTTAGAAGCTATCCCCCAAAAGATCGTCACCAAGAAAATTCTGAATCAAATCGGATCTAAAAACACCCACAAAAAAGGGTTTTCTCAAATTTTCCTCCAAAGAATGCATCTCAGTGCTCATGAGGAATCTGCCCAAATTGTTTTGCAAAGATGTTCCTCATAGGTCCTAGCATGAATTCATCCAACCAAAACATCGTGAAAACCACCGGATCAAGAAATCCATCAAAAGCACAAGACAGGAGGAACTGGAAGAAGAAGAACCAACTTGCTTTATTTCTCAAGAACTCTGTCTTACAAGATCTGGACTTACAAAACAGGAACACAGACAGAGGTCTCAATCTCTCTGTCTCCGGATCTCTCTCTTAGATGTGAGCTCTCGCTAAACTGAAGGAAACTAAGGCCAAGAGATGAAAAATACTAACCAGAAGATATAGCTGGCTTGGGGTAGCCCTCTTATTTGTAAAGCTATTACACATGCCCAAGCCTGCCATTAGATGTTTTGGCTGAACCACTTAGACCTAGAGGCAAAATTGTCCAAGTAGAGATTCGTGCATCCAACGGCCATGTGCCCTTCATGAGAATGCTTCGCCTCAATGCAAGCATCCCAATGACACCACGTGCCGCCTCGAACTCCATCCAGGTTTTGAGGCCCAAACTTGGCAACGTCGGTAGTTTTGAGGCTCAAACCACCAAACCTAGCTGGAGAAGTGTATCCGCTAGGCCTCCTTTACGATCTTGATGCGTGACACCCTCTGTACTTGACTGCCCCATCACCAAAGTCCTCGTGCCCCCACTTGACTTGGTCAACCACCATCTTGGATTGGTCAACATGGTCTACGCAGCTCCACATATACACTTGCTCGTCAATGTTGCCAAGTGTTAGCTGTCCATGGTCCACCCCGGCACCTCGGTCCCTTGGCCCAAGCCTCCACGTCCATCCTTCACCTCCCCCGGTCCATCAACACAAACTCGCTTGATCTTCTCAATTGCCGTCGACCGTCTCAACGCTCAACACCTGCACCCATCCACTAGAGATGTTAGGTTCTATGGCATTTAGTTTATGTCATAATATCTACAATTTATATCATAGATTAACATTTATGACACCCAATTGACGAAAAAGCTTGCGTCACCAATCATGTGCCTTAAACCATGTTCTATGTCGTTTAGATATCCAAGATGTGATACAAATTCATTTGTATCTCCTCTCTTTGTTTTGTACTGATCTGCACCTTTTTTAAGCTATTTGCTTTAATATAATTCCAGTAGGGGCTCCTTGCCCCTCCTGTTCTTTCAAGAAAGAAAGATGTGATACAAATGTCGACCTCAGAACTCAGAGTCTTCTTGTGTGCATATCATTCTTGAAAATTTTCCACGATGTCGTTGTCAAATAATATACCTCTCCATATGTATGGTCATACAACTGGCCAGCTAGGAAGGATAGATTCTCAAACTCTTGTCGGTGTTGGTCACAACCCAGCAACCTTTTTTCTCAAATAAAACGGAGAACTAAATATCATTACATTAAGAAGCTAGCGACCCTACAACTAGTTCAACCTCACCAGATTCTGATTTCCTATGTACATGCAAAACTGATGAACAGGGACATTCTGATTCCTATAGTACGGATGTGGAAACTACCTCATATCAGATTCTATGGAAATCCAAGCATGGCGGCGCATACCTTCAGGTCGGGAAGACCTCATGTAGAGGAGCCACTCAGAAAGGCCGAGGTAGAAAACAACCTAAATGATGGCCGAGCAAGAAGGTGCAAGGATGGGCAAGTGTGAACAATGAGTTCATGTGCTCGTGGATTAGACATGAGCCTGTCCAGTTGCAGGACACAGTGGTGGACTGGATTCAGAAAGAAAGGAGATTGCCGCTTCCGTTATTATTGAATACTAATTGTTGCTTTCATGATTGTCCGATCAAGTTATTTTCGTTCCAAGATCACAGGTCTTTGGTAAGGACAATCAAGTCATCCAACACATCCAATGGCTGAAAGACTTTCACGTCCTTGTACTTCAACTACATTGATGAACAGAATATACTTGAACCACTGGTGTGTGTTTTGCAAATATAAGAGTACATAGGGGTTTCCTAAAATATGTACTAGCTATTTATAGAGATAATGAGATGGCAAGGTTGTCATTGTCATTATCAGTGTTGTCATAAATGGCCATGTAGTCTGTTTACATGCTATTTAATCACTACTTGATGACTAGTTATCTCGATTCAATCGTCTCTTTATTCTGTTTAATTGACCATGTAGCATGTTTAATTGGCCATGTAGCCTGAATAAACTGTAAACAATATAGGTGCCCCATTGTTTACCATTTCGCGTTTTGGTGAACATTGGTCATTATAGTAATGAGTGGTTGTAAATGTTGGTGAAGTCTTTTTGTTCGAGTCATTATTCTTGCTCATGCTAACCAGAGGTGAAGTGGTGATGGTGCTAACATGTCTCTTATTTTCTACATTAGCAAGTGTTGGATAGGATTTGGTACTTGATAGTGTCTATGTACATTGGGCCAGGGGACACGATGCTGGTGTTAACATTTTCATGACCTAGAGCAAAAAAAATAGGGTCCCCTTAATATAAATATCAAAGTATCATTCAATATATAATATTAGGTCCATGAAAAATTATAAAAAATGTGCAAAGCTATAAAGCAAAAGACAAATTAAAATTACAAATAATGTCTCTAATAATATTTATGGCTAAGCCACGCTAATGTCTCTCATCAAACTTTGAAATGTGCCTTATTTCATATTCATCACCACGCATTATGTTATGTTTCTGGCTTGTCCTACTCCTACAGTAAATCGTGGTGATGCTTTAAAAGAAATAAAGACTGTACGTTATGTCATGTTTTCAGAACATGAGAGGAAACATCATTATATACATGGAACTCTTCATCTATGAAATGCAGAGTGTGGACTGCCAAAAAAAAGGAATGTAGGAATTGACGTGTCCACTCTATGAACTGCTAGTCATTTATGTCAATTCTATCATACATACAATCAAGGACAAGAGACGAGACCTCTAGGAACATGGGATTTATAACCACATGGTTGGCAATCTAGTATCCAAATTGATAGTAACTAGAGTGTGTAGGAACTCTTTTAGTTTTTATCAACTTAAGAATGTCTTTCCGTAAGTGCAATCAAGCCCTAAGTGGGTTTTGGTGATGATAATCGTGCAATTAAGGGACTAATGGTTTTTGTAAGATATGGACAGCATATTATATGATTGTGGTTCACGTGGAAGGAGAAACCCCAAAAAAAATCAAAAAGGATGGCTTGAAAGCTCAAAGGAGTAGTCTAAATTCATTTCATCTTTGAATTTGAGTATAGGACAAGCCGTACGGCCCATACTATAAAGGGGGACATCATTAGTAAGCTGGGATGAACCAAGTGCTCTATATCTTCTCCTAAACATAAAATCATCCAGCCTACGCTCAACCAAAGCATACACTTCCACATATATTCTAGCATGTGTGGAACCTCTGCCCATACCAAGTTGACTGTTTCGTTTGTGTTACGAATATTAGACTACACAGGGTTTTATCTATAAATTGTATAATATATTTCGTCAGTTCCTCCATTCCAAATTATGTTGTTTTAGTTTTTCTATGTACACATTTTCTTGCTATGCACTTAGATGTGCTACATCTAGATACATAGTGACGAGATCCTAACATAGGGGTATGTTAAGCCTCGGGATCAATGGTTCCCGACTAAGAGACCCCCTGACCGACCCCTCCAGGATCGCACGGGGGCTCGGGGGCTATACCCATCGGGTACGCTCGCGCGTACCCAAAGGCTAAGGAATCCGTCCAAGCCCGAGCACACCCGTGGCCACTGCTCGGGGCTCGGGGGCTTGCTTGAGCCTCAGGCTC